TACACCCATACTTCCACTTTAGTTAATCCACTGAGCATCCAGTTCCCACTTCCCACTCCTTGACTTTACGAAAATTTTACAACCGTCCACTAGGGGGGGTATATACCAAATGTGAAACGGTAATGTTCTGGAATTGCAAAAAAAATTTTCTTTGGCGAAGGCGAGCGATCCGACTGGTTGCAAATAACACGCATGTCATATTGAAATGCTGTGTTTTTTTTGTAAGGAGTTGTTGAGAAGGTTGATTGGAGTAACACCGTCATAATCAGCTTCTGCATCAAAATCAGCTTTCAAATGTAAGTAGAGAGAAAGTTTCTGGAAAAATTGGAGAAAAATCACAAGAAAACTCACGAGAAATGTTCCTAGTGTTATTATTTGTGTGTTGTTTGCGTCATAAATCGCACAGAATTTCTAAAAAAAATCTTGCCCGTCAGATTCCGATCAACCTCGAAAACTAGAGAGAACCTAGTTACTCCAAAAATTGCTTTAAAACTTGTCAAAAGAGAAAAATGTTAATAAGAAAAAATATGTAAGGTTTCGCAGAAAATGACATCAGAAGGTTTTGGCATTTGCCATTTCATGGGCGTTGTTCTCCATTTCTCTTGCTTTTTTTTCTTCCATCATTTTTCTTTGCAGAGCCATTTAGTGACCATAGGCTTCTTAATTGAACTTCACTATCCACAACATACAATAGTGAGGTTCGTCTTTACAAAGACGTTGCTTTTGACTTGCCACTAACAAAGAAATGATGGTACTTCTTCCATATCTACTGCGGATCTCCGTGGAGAGCTGTGAAAGTGCCGGAGAGGGCACGATTGCCCTCAAAACAACTGAGTCGAATGAGACAAATTGCATCGAATTGCAACCGAATTGCAAAAATGAGGCCAACCTCATAATCATTGAGGAGCGGCGCACATTCGTAACAACCTTTCACCCGGAATTCTTAATAAATATGGGTAAGCTATTCCTAAAAACCATCCGTAACCTCGTCTGGAGAAGTCCACAGACGTGACAATTCGACCGGATTACACCTCGTTCCGAACGACATTTACAACCTACTATCCTTCCCTGATGGGTTGCCTTATTTTCCGCGCACGTAGTCGTAAATAACTAGCGGATACGGAGGAATGGTGATGTCTAAGTAAAGCTATGGTATAGACCTTTTTAACTTAGCATGAGGAGAATTTATCGCCTCACAT